ACCCCTTGAATCATCATGTACAAATAAAATAAAATTGGAAGAATTTATGAAAATATAATAGAACAAATTAGTATAAATTATTTTCATCTATTAAAATAAAATGGATAAGTATAAAATTATAAAATAGCTTGGTGAAGGTACTTTTGGTAAGGTCGTAAAGGCCGTTAACACTGAGACCAATGAACTCGTAGCTATTAAGAAGCTTAAATCGAATTACAATTGGGAAGATGCAATAGCCATGAGTGAAATAAAGTCTCTGCGTAAACTTAACTCACACCCCAATGTTATCAAAATAATCGAGATGATTAGGAAAAAGGAAGAAATACTGATAGTCTTTGAATACTGCGACAGACAATTATTCAGAGAGATGAATGCATGATCCAATAACAATAAGCCATTTAGTGAATTAGAAATCAAAATTATAATGGGCTAGGCAATATCTGCCGTAAACTACATACATAAAAATGGTTTTATGCATAGAGACTTAAAGCCTGAAAATTTTCTACTTAAAGATTATAATTCTTCAGCTGGGGAGCTACAGGACTCTTCTGGGAATGTATAGAATTTGCAATTAAAACTAGCTGATTTTGGTACTGCTAGAGAACTTGACTAAAGCGGTAAATTTACTGACTATGTGGGAACGAGATGGTATCGAGCTCCTGAGTTACTTCTAAGATCATCCAATTATACACAAGCAGTTGATGTTTTTGGACTTGGATGCATTTTTATAGAGCTTTATCTTGGAAGACCAATATTTGTAGGTTAGAATGAGTCTGACCAGTTGTTTAAGATATTTTCAGTTATGGGAACTCCAAATTAGCAATAATGGCCTGAGGGCTATAGATTAGCTGATCAAATGGGATTAAAATTCTAATAGATGACGCAAACCCCTTTAATTTAGCTATTTCAAAGGGAAATATCAGATGAAGCAATAGATTTAATGAATGGCATGCTAAGATATGAAAGTTCATAAAGATTCACTGCGATTCAATGCCTTAATCATTCATACTTCAAAGATGTCTAATAGTACATTCAAATGGGAGGAGCAGCTGGAAACTAACGCCAATATTAAAGTGGACAACGAATGCCACTTGTAAAGTAGTAACTGTCTAACTAGAACTAGCAATAGTAATAACAACAATAATCTTATGGAGGAAGCAATCAACCAATAACGAATTAGTAAAATTTCACTAAATAAAAGTCGATAAAAGGTGAATCAAATAGCCAGCCGACATTCAAATCATCATAGGCTTAAGATGACTTAAATAGCTCTTCAATGTATCAACCTACAATAACTGACTCTAAAAGAATGAGCAAATATGGGGCATTTAGCTTCAATACAAACATCTCTCAACCTAATTTACCCTCTTAATCTAAGCAAAATATAGATGATTCATTTAGTTAGCTCAATGATTCTTCCTACAATCCAATGGGGGTTTAATCTAAGCCATTTACCAAACCATTAATTGGTGGCTCATCAATTCAAAACAAAAACTATAACTACCAATACAACTAATTTTAAAATAACTCACCCAATCCAGTTTCAAATTTTTAGACTCCACAAAGAGAACTTAACTAAAATAGAAAATTCTCTTAGTTAGGAAGTTCTTTGATACAGGGCAACATAACCAATAACTATTAGAGTTTGGTGGGAACAAGTACTCTTGATGGTTTAGGGAATTCTTTCTCAACTCAAATACCTAAGGAGTCAATGATATCGAAAACATTTGGGCCAAACGATATATTAGCCAAAGAACTGCAAAAATAAGATGAAAATAATATGTATAAAACTGATATAAATCAAGGCTAGAGATAAATAGGTGGTGCACAAGGATCAGGTGCTTATAATAATAGACTCACTAACAATTAGAGACGAGCTTTTATCCCTGATTATGCTTCTAGTGGCTCATAAATAATGCAGGGTAGTTTTAAACAAAGTAATGTAAACGATCGTTAGTAATCAAATAATAACAGCGGAAATACTACTTAAAATAACTATAATAATGCTTTTAATATCTATGGTAGTACAAACTCAGATCTGAGTAATGTAACGAATATAGGGGTACTAAATGATAGATAAAGTACTGCAAATGATATTAGGGGAAATGCAAGTCGATTAGCGATGAATCAAGGCGTTAACTCTGGAGGTGGCAGTGTATTCTCTGGTATAGCTAGTAGATAAATAATGGGAGGCCTCAATAATAATCTTTCAGACATGGGAGGGAATATTCCAACATTTGGACGTCATCAAATCTGAAAACAATCAAAAGTTAAGAAAATTTTAGAATCTATATATTTTATGATGTTTATAGTAAATTTATTTTAGGTTTATATTTCGAGCTTTGATTTATTTCTTAGAATCACTTGAATATCAAGGGGTTTTGGGGTTTTGGGGTTTTGGGGAGATCGGAAGAGCACACGTCTGA